CTACAATGGCTTCACACGACAACCAAATGCTTCCATGACATGAGTTTGAGTTCTGTTTTTATGGCCTATGGCATTTATGTACATCAAGCCCTGCGTTTTGGCAACATGGATTCCTTAGCATTTAGGGAACAATTATACCCATGCCTTTTCTGAAACTTGAGTAGCCTACACCGTTACTGTCGCAATATAAAAAGGACACTTAAAAATTCCCCAAAATCATTCTAAGCTTGAGTATAGCGACTTGATTTCACACACACACACACAAAAGAAATACAGCTGAGCAGGTTCTCAGTTAGCTACTAAGACATTACCAGGTTGCCTCCGCATAGACCTTGGCCTCCTACACTAAGCAGAGAATCAGCATTCCTTTACTCACTCATAATTCATGAAGGAACGTGTGTGAATGTCTCCCCAGACCCATAGAGAGAGAACGAGCATTTACAGTTGGCCTAATTCCTGAGGGGATTCAACTAAATGCCAAGTCAGGCTGTTCCGTTTATTACAGCTCACTCTCTGACTCAACAGAACACCTTTTGAGCCTTCTACACGTTTGTCTGACAAAGCACACATTTTTCACCTTGAGTGGCTCCGCTCCAACTGAAAAACACAAACACACGCACATTCATATCCCCCCTGGCAACTGCAGAGCTGACACAGGATGAGCGTAACAGAGATGACCCACTCTAAAGCCAGACTCAGTAAGACCCAGTCACATCATTTGGATTTATGAAATATCAAACTGTCTGGGACACGAAACAAACCCAGGCGAGACAATTTAAACAAATGTAATTCTAATTTACAAAGACAAGTTCAACAATAAAGGCAGCCTACTGCGGTGCAACGGTAGCGCCTTTATCCGCTTGATCTCTTGCAGTAGTAATACTTGCCTGGAAAAGTCGACCCTTAGCCATCTAAAGGTTGCAATAGCAAACTCAACATCCAAGGGGAAAACAATTAGCCAGCTAGCAACTCCAGGGTTTGCAAGCAGGTGCATGAATGTTTATTTGGCTGTAGGCTAAAATCACCCACCGGTAGGCTATGTACATTTGCAAGCAAATGTGGGAAGATTTTGGCATTGGCGGGTAAGATGTCCATTTCACTAGCCACGTTGGCGGGTGGTCAGGGCTCCAAAGTGCGAGCATTTCACTCACATTTGGGAATACAAATAGTATGATCACATTTATAGTGAAATAAATGCTGTAGTCGCGGTTTTCAAAGTATTTTTGCCGTTTTGTTTCATTGCTGGTCAATTAAAATCGCACAAAATCAAAGAACTACAAATCCTATATAGCCAATCCAGTGGCGATTTTAGCGTGTAAATCTTGGTGGGCCAAACAAAACAAATATGGGATGCATGCCAGCAAAACCACTACACAACACTAAACAATACATGAATTGCACTATAATGGTAACAACCGGTGCCCACAAACTGTTAGGGCCTACATAAAGCTGTCCCAACAGCAGAGTCCCAACACCTTACCACTGCTACACCTGGCTATCAGCGGAGCCTTGTCTGGCAGCAAAACAGTTCATTCAGCCTCATTTACTGCCTTTTAAAAAACAAAGCTGATATGGCTGACTTGCTTAAACAAATGTGGTTTCTATTGACAATTAAGATGTACAAACTATGGCATAAGGCAACGACAAGCGGATAAGAGGCAATCCATAATTTCGATTAAGACATTCATGAGAGAGCTAGGACGGACATAGTCAATATAACTATTTGTTAAGCACTTTTGAAATGTACAGCGACAGAATTCAGAACATGGGCCATTCTTACAGTGTTCTCCCGGGACACCAAGTCAGAACCATAGGATAAATAAAGGGGGCATATAAGCAGACAATCAAAGCTCTTACAATATTTGTCACGGTTTCGGCCGAGGCTGCTCCTCCTCCTGGTTCGGGCAGGCTTCGGCGTTCGCCGTCCCCGGAGTACTAGCTGCCACCGCTCTATGTTTCTGTGTTTGATTGCTTTTGTCTGTCTGTCACACCTGTGTCTGTTTGGGAGTTGATTACGTGTCTTATAAGTTCCGTGTTGTGATCTAGGGTATTTGTGTGTTGTTATTCTGTTGCCACTGTGTTTATGATACGTGTTTGTTTTCCGTGTCATTTTTTCATGTTTAGTGTTTTACGCGTGTGCGTAATTTTCCCTCGCCACTTCGTGTTTTCGAGGTCGGGGTTTTGTGCTCGTGTTATTGAGACTATTAAAAGTCTTGTTGGACTAAACCTCTGTTTCCTGCGCTTGACTCCTCCACCACATCCACGACGGAATAGTGACAATATTAGAAGATTACATTTCTCTAAAACAGGTTATAGGCTACATGTGCACCACCAAGTCAGAACAGTAGGCGAAATTAAGAGATGTAAATAGACCAAATTATTAGGGTGAGGCACATGGGCTACTAACAGCTTACTACACAACATACACTTAGTATTACTTTCTTAGCTACAGTATACATATCTCCCTGGCATATTACATCATTTATGCAGCAGCATACAATACATTTTTGGACTCACCTTGTTGCGCTGTGCTCACTTGAACAGGAAGGTGGCGCGGCGGTCCTTCGTGGGCAAATTTTGGAATCAAAGTTTGTCATTCTCTGGATTTATGGTGCTTTCAAGACAACTGGGAACTCGGAAAAAAACAAGGTCGAATCATGATGACGTCAGTGATCTTCAGGTCGTAGCTCTAGAAAGAGGCCCGAGTTCCGGATTTACAATTCCGAGTTGGATGACCGTTCAAAAGGTATTTTCTCAGTCGGAGCTCGTTTTTCCCCCCCCCAAGTTCCCAGTTGTCTTGAACTCACTGAAGTAAAGTTTTTGGCAGTTCCGAGTTAAGTTGTTTTGAGTGCGGCACAAATCATGCTTCATTGACAGAATGGCCAATGTTGACCCGTAATCCCAGATTTGGGACCACACAGCTACTCCACTGAATAGCAGGCTAGTGATTGCTTTGCAAAGCTTGCAGTTAGCCACTGATTCCTTCCAAACCACTCATTGTTGAATTTGCGATTTCCAACTTGTTGTGTAATGTTTATGTCAAATGGCCGATGAGTACCGATACGTTTTATCTATAATTTTTCTTCATTACATCTCTTCATATGACAAGGATTAAAAAGGATTTGCCAGTAGATTGTCAACTTCATTCATTATGATGACTGCTAGCTAAGATTTTGAAAGTATGATGTTGACATGATCAGTCCAATCAAAGCTACTGTAGATATAACATGATTTGACATCATTTTATCTGTGGCCAATGACCTTGAGCCTTTTTGGATGGGCACTTTTAATGTAACTCTATGGCAGCACACAAGGGGCTTGAATTTTCAAGCTCTACGCCTAGACTTGGCGGTGACGTAGTGTCCCCATGATTGACAGAACAGAGCCAATCACGGCGCAACTAAAGAACATTACCAACACCTACGCAACGTATTTTCCGCTGGCTGCCCCACCACCACAGAAAGCACTGAGCTAGGCTGAAACACCTGCATTTTGGAGCTGCCTTACTCAAGAAAGCAAAAAAGAGACCATGTTTGTATGCGGCTTTATTAACGCAATGATATATATATATACACAGGCAAGCCAAAAAAAAAGGTTTGGAATCACCAATTCTCTTCCTTAAACTGAGCAATCGGGGGAGAAGGGCCTTGATCAGGGAGGTGACCAAGAACCCGATGGTCACTCTGACAGAGCTCCAGAGTTCCTCTGTAGAGATGGGAGAACCTTCCAGAAGGACAACCATCTCTGCAGCACTCCACCAATCAGGCCTTTATGGTAGAGTGGCCAGACGGAAGCCACTCATCAGTAAAAGTCACATAACAGCCCGCTTGGAGTTTGCCAAAAGGCACCTAAAGGACTCTCAGACCATGAGAAACAAGATTCTCTGGTCTGATGAAACCAAGATTGAACTCTTTGGCCTGAATGCCAAGTGTCACGTCTGGAGGAAACCTGGCACCATCCCTAAGGTGAAGCATGGTGGTGGCAGCATCATGCTGTGGGGATGTTTTTCAGCGTAAGGGACTGGGAGACTCGTCAGGAACGAGAAAAAGATGAATGGAGCAAAGTACAGAGAGATCTTTGATGAAAACCTGCTACAGAGCGCTCAGGACCTCAGACTGGGGCCAAGGTTCACCTTCCAACAGGACAACGACCCTAAGCACACAGCCAAGACAACGCAGGAGTGGCTTCGGGACAAGTCTCTGAAAGCCCTTGAGTGGCCCAGCCAGAGCCCGGACTTGAACCTGATCGAACATCTCTGGAGAGACCTGAAAATAGCTGTGCAGCGACTCTCCCCATCCAACCTGACAGAACTTGAGGATCTGCAGAGAGGAATGGGAGAAACTCCCCCGCTGGGCCCCCACCGATTTTGTTATAATATTTGAGTCACTCGGCATAAGTACACGGCATAAGCCATCGCAAAATGTGTAGAACTGCAGAAAATTCGCTGAAGAACAGCTAAATATTGTCTGCGGCCAACAGGAGGGCCTCTAAAATGTTCAGTTGGTGACTGCGCCATTGGCCACGCCCACTACGACGTCCCCGCCACACCCACCACCTAAGCCTAATTTTGATCCAGAAAAAAACATGCGTTCAGTAGGGCACACCATAGAAAGCCGCTTTACAAAATTGTGTTCTTTTTGGACTAGTTCAAGTAGTATATCTCCTTATTTCAAAACAGTCAGAGGGAGGAAAATAAGTGAGCTCAGCTCATCTTACCAATGATGGCTGCTGCTATGAGTCTCACAGCATCGTAGGGGGCTGAGCACGTGGGGTAGAAGGGCTGCACCAGGTAGTTTGAGAAGGTGAGGGCTATGACAGCCTGGCAGGCTGGCTCCACGATCATCAGGGACGTCCACAGCCTAATAATTAAAAAGAAGAAATGAATTAAAGATTTATATAGAGCTTTTCTAGACACTCAAAGCACTTTACATAGTGAAGGTCTCTTCTGCAAAATAGTTTCTCAATGAGACAAACCTGTTAAAATATAAAAAAGTGAAATCTCACCTAATGAAAGCCAGGAAGCCGCCAAAGGACTCCAGTATGTAGGCATAGCTGGCCCCAGACTTGCGGATGGTGGTTCCCAGCTCGGCGTAGCACAGGGCCCCAAACACGGAGAAGACCCCGCCTATGGCCCACACCACCAGAGACAGGCCGAAGGAGCCTGTGTAGAAGAGCACCCCTTTGGGGGAGACGAATATGCCCGAGCCGATCATGTTGCCCACGATGAGGCAGACCCCTTGGAGCAGGGAGATCTCCTGCTTCAGACGCATGGAGCCAGTTGAAACGGTGTCTGCATCTTTCTCAGCCCCCATGGTGATGGTTCGGAGGGGGGGGGGGGGGGGGGGGACAGAAAGATGAAGGAGTGGAGACAGGACAGGGACAGAGTAGAAGGTGCAGGACTGGAGACAGGTGGGGAGAGACTAGGACAGCGACAGGGTGGGAGCAGCACGTCACTAAGCAAGGCCACTGTCAAAGGCTCTCAGCTGATGGTCATCATAATGTCCTTTATCAGCTGTACTCGACAAGAACGCTGTAGAGAAATAAGGACAACATCAACTGTTAGCACAGGATGTGAGACAACATAACTTGCTGTATGAAACCATTAGGCTTCAGGCAATGACTCCTTGTATTAGGTAACTGTAAACTTCAGCATTTTTCAGGGATAGAATCCAAAAGAAACCGGAATACCTAGCTAGTCCTACAAGCTGGAATTTTCAAAGATGCAGCTGATTACAAACCTACTTACAGGTACAATGTAGTAGCAAGTCTAGAGTTTCTCTACAGTGTCTCTGAGCCACAAGCAGCAGTGGAGGAGAAGTTCAAGCATGATGTGTTTCTGGGTAGCAGATACAGTGGAGTAGTGCTAATGAATGCTACAGCAAGGTCTTGTGACCAACTGTGTTTTTCCACTAACAGGCACGGTGCCTGGCTACTGGGTCTGGGAACAAAGTAGTGGGGGCCTTAGAAGTCAGAACAAGGTCTTTGTTATAGGAACACACACACAGTACATACACACATACGTAGTACGCACAAACATACTGCACACTGTGACACACACTACCCATGTTACGCACAGTACAGTATTCACCTCACTGTTTCCCATCAATTATTTTCCACCCTTTGGAGTTTAAATAAAATGACAGAGGAGAGGCCCAACTCAACTCGTCTGCGATTCAAGTCGCTGTTTACTCAAGCGCGACCTCTGGAACCAAGAAAAACAAGGACAAGGAGTGAATCTTAGTTCAAATGCCTCCTGTTACTATGGGAGGATTTCCCATGGCTGGTAGAACAGCCCGCACACTTTGCATTTCAGAACTACAGTAATAAGGCTTGATAGATGCTCATTAAAATTCACTAATGGTGTAGTAGAGCTTCAAGTGCATATGCCAATATCTCACATGAACCTGCATGATATAGCCTAGCCAAAAACAATGTTTATCCAAGAAAAGGAAAAATACATTAGTTCTCTTGGGACTTTTCCTAAAATGGTTTGCCTACAGTTCTGACACATGCTGAAGTATTTCACTGGAAATATGCGAAATGTTACAGTTTTGTCAGATGGGAAATCCACTAGGAGTGATGTTTAAAATAATTTGAGATTGTTTACATTTAGAAAAAATCCCTAACCTAAATGTATATCTTTTTTTTTTACAAGATTAAAATCACAGTGCAGTTAACACAAAACTACAACAGGTCCAGATCCTCATAAAAAGGCAAAACAATGTTTTAACAAATATCTAACGCAACAATGCTATCAGTAGGAGATATGCATCTTTCAAATGATTTGCCACGGATATAAAGTGCTCCGCACGCCATCTTCGATAACAGTTGGAAAATGGCAGTGTGAGACAGGGAAGCGACAGCAGTGTAGCCCTGTATGGCAATAATTTGAGAAGTTAAATGAGAAGATGAAATGCAAACTTTGCGGGGTGGAATTGAGTTACAGTGGCAGTACAGGTGCAATGCTGAAAGGGAGGCACCAGGAGACCCAACCCATTGCTGGCAGCAGTGCGATAAGGGACAAAGTGAGAAAATCACAGTGCTGACCACAGAAATGATTGTAGTTGATATGCAGCCATTGTCAATGGTAGAGGAGGACGGCTTTAATACCCTAATGTAATATCTATACTGAACAAAAATATAAATGCTACATGTAAAGTGTTGGTCCCTTGTTTCATGAGTTTAACTAAAATATCCCAGAAATGTTCCATACGCACAAAAAGCGTATTCCTCTCATTTTGTGCACACATTTGTTTACGTCCCTGTTAGTGAGCATTTCTCCATTGCCAAGATAATCGATCCACCTGACAGGTGTGGCATATCAAAAAGTATGATAATTACACAGCTGCACCTTGTGCTGGGTACAATAAATGTCCACTCTAAAATGTAGTTGTCACACAATGCCACAGATGTCTCAAGTTGAGGAAGAAAAAAACCTAACATTTTTCATTGTGCTCCTAAATCGCAATTTGGGCGCACATGTGTGCCTTGTAAAAAGGTCACCGTAGAGCCCTGACCAGGCTCAAACATATACGAGCTCAGGCTACCCATATTAGTTTTATGAAAAGAGGAAATCCCTTATCAAACATATACTGAACAAAAATATATGATTTTACTGACTTACAGTTCATATAAGGAAATCAGTCAATTTAAATAAAATTAATTAGGCCCTAATCTATGGATTTCACATGACAGGGCAGAGGCACAACCATGGGTGGCCTATCCAGGCCCAGTCAATCAGAATGAGGTTTTCCCCACAAAAGGGCTTTATTACAGACAGAAATACTCCCCAGTTTCATCAGCTGTCCAGGTGGCTGGTCTCAGACGATCCCGCAGGTGAAGAAGCCGGATGGGGAGATCCTGGGCTGGCATGGTTACACGTGGTCTGCGGTGTTGAGAGGCCGGTTGAACGTACTGCTTATGGTAGAGAAATGAACATTCAATTCTCTGGCAAGGGCTCTGGTTGACATTCTTGCTGTCAGCATGCCAATTGCACGCTCCCTCAACTTGAGACATCTGTGGCATTGTGTTGTGACAAAACTGCACATTTTAGAGTGGCCTTTTATTGTCCCCAGCACAAGGTGCAGCTATGTAATGATCATTCTGTTTAATCAGCTTCTTGATATGCCACACCTGTCAGGTGGATGAATTATCTTGGCAAAAGATAAAATGCTCACTAACAGGTAGGTAAACAAATTTGTGCACAAAAGTTGAGAGAAATCAGCTTTTTGTGCATATGGAACATTTCTGGGATCTTTTATTTCAGCTCATGAAACATGGGACCAACACTTTACAAGTTGCGTTTATATTTTTGTTCAGTATAAATACTGGTCATACTGCATAGGGAATTGCCAGGGACCATATGATACGATATTATCACAATATTTATTGCAATTCTCACGATTCTATATGTATTGCCAGGGCATAGAATTAACACCCACCAAATGCGGGTAGATTGAAGTATTGGCGGGTAAGAACGTCTATTTCACCAGCCACTTTGGCGGGTGATCAATTTGCAGGGCTCTACAGTGCAAGCATTGCGATTTATAGTAGAAAAATGCTGCAGTAGCTGTTTTCAAAGTATTTCTGCCGTTTAGTTTAAAACAAGAGGACAAAGAAATACAAATCCTATATCCAACCTCACCTCATGCAGCAACACTGCCTGGCAAGAGAGCTATGCGCTCTGAGTAGTGCTGATAGATTCATTTTTGGAGGCACTGCACATAGGCATAAAAGTTGGTATAATTTACTAGAAAGTCTACAAAGTGAGACTTTGTCCTCGTGTTTCTTGACTATTTACCTAGTTTTGTTCATAAGCTTGGTTGTTTTTCCAATGTTAGTTTGAGTCTGCTGCTTTAACTGATAGTGAAGAGACGCCCTAGTCAGATCACACACACACACACACACACACACACGACTCAAGTGGCCCCATTACCACAGTAACCTCCTGCCCTTAAAAGGGGCAGCTGAACATTTTGATTCATCTGATATTTTGGTTAAAAGACTCAGGTTACAAAAAATGTAATTACATTTAGCAATATACCACATTACTTACTAATACATTTCTTGTTTTAGAAACATTACAAAAGCATGGTCATGTTATTTTTTTTAATGCAATTATGGCGTAAAATAAATATTTTGGCTGGTACAAAGTGAGACTTTGTCCTCGTGTTTCTTGACTATTTACCTAGTTTTGTTCATAAGCTTGGTTGTTTTTCCAACGTTAGTTTGAGTCTGCTGCTTTAACTGATAGTGAAGAGACGCCCTAGTCAGATCACACACACAAGACTCAAGTGGCCCCGTTACCACGGTAACCTCCTGCCCTTAAAAGGGGCAGCTGAACATTTTGATTCATCTGATATTTTGGTTAAAAGATGTAATTACATTTAGCAATATACCACATTACTTACTAATACATTTCTTGTTTTAGAAACATTACAAAAGCATGGTCATGTTATTTTTTTATATGCAATTATGGCGTAAAATAAATATTTTGGCTGGTACAAAGTGAGACTTTGTCCTCGTGTTTCTTGACTATTTACCTAGTTTTGTTCATAAGCTTGGTTGTTTTTCCAACGTTAGTTTGAGTCTGCTGCTTTAACTGATAGTGAAGAGACGCCCTAGTCAGATCACACACACAAGACTCAAGTGGCCCCGTTACCACGGTAACCTCCTGCCCTTAAAAGGGGCAGCTGAACATTTTGATTCATCTGATATTTTGGTTAAAAGATGTAATTACATTTAGCAATATACCACATTACTTACTAATACATTTCTTGTTTTAGAAACATTACAAAAGCATGGTCATGTTATTTTTTTATATGCAATTATGGCGTAAAATAAATATTTTGGCTGGTAGAAAATCTGAGTGGCTGGTAGACTTTTTTCATCTACCTGCCACAGTGGCTGGTGGACCAAAAAGTACATTTTAGGCACTGGTATTGCGATTAAATACTGCGATTTTATTGCGGTTTGACGTTCCAAACATATTGCCCACAATATGTCTGCTGCAGAGAGACAAGAGCATGAGAACTTGTTTTGATCAGTCATGGAAATAAAAGTGCTGAAAACATAAGCTATAGGATGAAATATACTAGTGTTTTGGAGCAGGTACAATTTCTTGAGGCAAGCCGAAGTTCAGTAGCCGAAGTCTACGGCCTTTCGTCAGTGATTGGTCAACAGTAGGGATTCTTCAATTAAGTGTTTGTCGTCATTCAACGACAGACGATTAGTTTTCAAGCAAGTTTTTTCACTTGAGAAATACGGCACCAAACCTCTTAAATAGATGTGAAATTGTGCGACTAAGACCTCCTCTGCAAAAACGTCAAAATTAATGACAGATTTCTTGATTTATCTTAGCTTGATTTTTACTACTTTGAGGAAGTGTTACTGTATGTTGTTGCTACAGTGGGACAAACAGTAATATTGTAGTTTTAAGCGAATGTCTTTTTAAGGGAGTAGGCGAGGCAAAGACGTTCGCGTCGCTTAGCTGAGTTCTGCTAAGTTGAAATGCCTGTTTCAATGGTTGTAATGCCCTCTGTTTGTAATGCTTC